TATGGATGATTTTGTTCTTTGCTTCATGTGTTTGTTTCCTGTAATGCACATGTTAACTTAATAAAGGTTATTTTAAAAACCAAAAAAAAAAAAAAAAAAAAGAAAGTGGTGGACTATGTAGTCTACTCACTGGCCCCATGAGGAAGTTGTCTGCATGGGTTCTGAGATGGGAGCAGTCTTTCCTAAGCCTTTGGGGCACTCATTTGTGCCATTTGTACTTTCTGGGGGTTCAGAAGTTGAAAAACTAATAGAGTCACCAGGCTACATCACCCCTGGAGCACCTGACAGCCAGGCAGAACTGCTGTGGAAGCATTCTCCTTAATCCAGGGTGTGTGAACTTCCCACAGAAAGTTCTGCCTGCTCACATGCAAGATTGTTAGAAAACACAGGGTGCTATCGCCAGGTAAAAGTCACTACTCTAGAGAGACTGGAATGGAGCCAGCAGGTAGAAGCTATGTCATAGAGAAGTTTAGAATAATTGTAAATGAAAGAATAAAAAATGAGAGGAACCAGATGCTGGGGGTAAAAAGAAACTGGAACTTAAAGATATGAAAGAAAGGTATTTGGGCAAAATTCAGGTTAGTTTGCAGATAGAACACTGCTAAGAGAGAACCAGAATTCAATACAACAGGAAGATGGGGGTGGGGATAGAGGGATAGATGGTTCATAATTTTAAAGAGAATGAAGAGCACTTCAGAGGTGAAAGACAGTTTAGTGATGATACCTACTCTTTTTAAAGACATAGCCCTACCTGCATTGTCCAGGATGGTCTCAGCTCGGGATCCTTAATCACATCTGCAGAGACTATTTCTAAATAAGGCCAGAGTTAGAGATTGCAGGGATCTGATGTGGTATCTTTTGAGAGTACATTTTTGTTTTGCCTATAACTTTGAATTTAAATTTTTAGGTTGGCAGTTACTTTCTCTAAGACTTCATGAAGATTAATCCTATTCTTTTTTGGTTTGTCAGAATAATTATTGCTTCAAATGTTTCTCTTCTCTACCTTTTCCCTTCTACCCCATTCCCCCTGTTGCTTTTAAAATACTTCCCCCTCCTCAACAGAGAGGTGTCTTTATTGAGGCCCCGAGACTGTGAGTCCGGGGTGGAGGTTGCTCTTGGGGACAGAGGGCTGCATTTGACCTTCTTGAGGTGCAGGTTGTTTGTATGGCCACACTTCATTTTTTGGCAGTTGACAGTGCTGCATGGGGTGCAGTTGGTGTAGCACATGTGGCAGATTATCTTGTCACAGTTATACCTCTTTGTGAGCTGGAGCAGGAAGGCTAGATGATGCCTAACAAGTGTAGGTGCAGCACTGGGTGCAGGGTGGACTTTCTCTGGATGTTGTAGTCTGAGAAAAGTCATTCTCTGGCAGGTTGCTTGCAAAGATCAGCCACTGTTGGTCTGATGAGATGTTCTCCTTGCCTGGGATTTTAGCTTATTTATTTATTTTTTGGAGGCATGGAGATTTGAATTACTGTCAGTTTTGCTCTGGTTATTTTGGAGATGGGGGTCTCACAAACTTTTTGCCCAGGCTGGTCTTAAACCATGATCCTCCCAAGGTAGCTAGGATTATAGGCAGGAGCCACCAGTGTTCAGTGGATTTTGGGTTTGATATTCTCCATGGTGTCACTGGACTCAACCTTGAGATAGTTGGTGTTGCTGGTCAGAATCTTGACAAAGATCTGTATTTGCTGGGTCACCTGGTTAAAGAGAGCTTTTTGGGAAAGGTGGATGGTACCGGGTTTGGTCTCAGAGCCTTGGACTTGCTCTGGAAGCAGTCTACCAGGGCCCATTCACTGCCCTTTTTGGCTTTAGTTGATTTTTCAGATAGCATCTTGCCTTTTTTGCTTGGGGCCAACATCAGACCATGATCCTTCTACCTCAGCCTCCCATGTAGCTGAGATTAAAGTGTGTGCCACCATACCCAGCTTGTTTTTTTAAGACAGAGTCTTGCCCATGCTGGCCTCTACCCATCTCTCTGCCTCCCACAGCTGGGATCACAAGCATATACCACCATGCCTGGCCTAGTATCTTTGTTTTTACCATGATAGGACTAGACATAATTTTCTTTGTACATTTAGAGAGCATCTGGATTCTAGCTTGATTTCTCCCACTTGTAGTAGTAGCTATTCAAATACTCTTTCTTCTCATTTCTCTCCTGGGATTCCCATTAACAAATAGATCAGTGCACCTTTTTTTGTTTTTGTATTTTCCATTTTTGTTCTCTTTGAGCTTAAATATGGATAGCTTCTACTGATTTTCTTACATTTCACTAACTCTAATTATGCTTGAATTTTCTATAAAATCCATGAATTGAATCAAATCTTTTTTTTTTTTTGAGATAGGGCCTTATTATGTAGTCCAGGCTGGCCTCAAACTCATGATCCTCCTGCCTCAGCCTCCTGAGTGCTGGGATTACAGGTGTGAACCACCATGCCTGGCTTGAATCAAGTCTTTTCATCTATTTCTGTCATCTGTTTTCTTCAGTATATCACTCAGTTATTTTAAAGACCTTGTTGGCTGACTTCAGTCTCTGGATCACCTGTATGTTTGTTTCTACTGTCAGTTTGTCTTCTTTTGGTTTCAGTCAAGTGATCCTGTCTCTTGGCCTGCCTAGTGTTTTTCATTGGTTGTCAAACATTGTATTAGAAATCATGGGTGGTCCTCTTGGTGTCTTCCTTTGCCAACTAGCTAGCATGGTGATTGATCTTCACTTAGGAGTTGAACTTAGATGTGTTTCAGCTTGGGCAAGTCAGGCTCTCTTTGTTCAGCCCTCATCCTGGAGTGCTGGGTTTCCATCAGCCTGGCTTGCTCTGCAGAGTCCATTCCTATACAAGAAATTGTCTTGCGCTTCAGTAATTTTTGGTTTTCTTCAGCCTTCCGCTGGGGTAGCTTTGGAATTTCACATATCTTAAAGGGGACTTCAGTTGGTTTTGAAACATCTCAAAGGTCCAGTTTTATCATGGCAGCCCTGCAAGAGCACCAAAACCCATGTTTGTTTCTCTGTTTCCTAGCAGTAGCCTTGAGTCTAGGAAGAGCATGGTCTCAGCTTCTTACCTATACTGAGAATTGACAAATATTTCAGGCCAGTATGCTCATGTATTCTAATTTTGATACACAGAAAGTAGTAGACACTGGGATGGAGTTAGGAACACATACCTATTTTTGGGAGTATGACACTTAACAGAATGTTATGTGGGAAGCAGCAGAATTGGATTAGGGAGAGCCTCAGACTGTGATGCTCAATTGTGGAGTCTCCACCACCCCTTCGAGTGACCTAGGGCAAGGGTTGGAGGAAGCCTGAGTTAGAGGCATTCTGGAGGCTGTTGGCCCACGTATGCACTCTTCAGTGCTGAACAGCAGGTTCGTTCTTGAGAAGCAGTGCAGGTGCTGCTAGCTCAGCTTTGTCAACCTGTGTATTCTAGGAATCACTTCCATATCAGTTGACAAGTTTGGCTCATTCTTTTTTAATCTTTTACATGATTCTGCTGTATAACCCTCCATCTTGTGGGATTTCTTCAGTTTATTCAACCAGTTTCCTTTTGATAGTGTTGGGGTTGTTTGAAATGTTTGCTGATCCCACAATGCTGCAGACTAACTGTCCTTGTGCTTACATTGATTGTGTGCGTAGAAATTATCTTTAAGGTGGATTCCTACAAGTGGAAGGGGTTTCTAGGTCAGAGAGTAAATGGCATGTGCAGTTTTTAAGTCACTGAGTTCACATCTATAAAGTCCTGCTGGGAGTGTTTTTTCCACAACCTTGCTGATAAGTGTGTTGTCCAGCTTTGTGGGTTTTACTATTCTGATACAACCACTACCAATGTAGTTGTAGTTTACAGTTCTATCTGTCCATGTAAATTGAAGTTTTAATTTCCTATTGAGTTCTTCTCATTTTAAAAGTTGCATATAAAGTGTGTGAGCCTTTTGTCTAAATAATTTGTAAATATTTGTCTTTTTACTGAAGTGATTTTCATGACGTGACTAGACTCAGAAAAGTGATTAGTGTGCAGGATCACTGTGACCCCTTGCTGTGGGGAGTCTGGCCTCTCCAGCCTCTGTATGCCAGAAAGGAGCTAGTAGATGCTGAAGGAAACAATCCCACTGGGGTCCACTGGATTGGGAGGTATGTTTTTGTTAGGAAGACCATGCTGCAGCCTGGAGGATGGTTGGGAGTTGTTTGGAAGCTTGTTAGATGAACTAGACGGGCTAAGAGTAAGAAAAGAGGGGTGCTACACCCTGGACCAACTAAAGAAATGTGCTGGTGGGGACCTTTCATGAAACCTCCTGTGGGGTTTTTGTGTAGCCCAGTAGGAAACTGTTAGAGTGAGCTATGTTCAGCCAAGTCAGGGTCATGGCAGAGAGGTTGGGATGTGGCTGAGGAGATAGGGAGAGACGATGGCATGGAATAAGCTCTCCAGATTGGGTGAGTTTGCCTCCATACCAGAGACATCCTATTGCCAGTGGTTCACTAACCTGTTTTTAAATACATGTTGTATGTGTTTTTTGTTTGATTTTAGAGCATGTTAACTGACTGTTACAGGTTGAGATGGGAAGGCCCAAGCAAACACAACAGTATTTTTTCAAGGACCCTTAAACAGAGTAGATAGTCCCCTGAGAATTCATGGGGAAAGATGAGGAAATTTGGATTTTGTGGGAATTATTGAAGAGTTCCACAGAATTAAGATACAGTTCAGTGATGTTTCAAACTTTTAAAATCATGAAACCATTAAAGAAAAATTGTTTCCCTCGTATCTAAGATATGTCCAGGCAGCTTCTGTGGCTGAGTCTGCTTGGCCTTCCTTATATTTGGGCTTCTGTGAGTCAGCCCCCAGATCACTGATGGAAACCACTGCCCTGATCTTTCCTGGCCACATTAGGTCTGTTTCAAGTGGAATCTGCCCTGTTGTCCAAAATGTGTAAAGTTAATAAAACATTTTTGTTATAAATAAATTTTTATTATAAATAAATAAAAAATACTGCACACTTGTTTCCTGCCTGACTAGAGATGGTAAGCAGAGAAGTGAATCCAGGAGGGCAACGGAATAGCTTCTGCTTAGGTAAAGGAGGCTCAGTTTCAAGACCAAGAAAATCAACTTTGAAGCAATTGACTCCTATAGGAGATGAGAACTGGGAACCTATACAGATACCTGTGGGACATGGGAGTGTTGACTCCTGTTCCCATTGAGAAACTTGGGGAGGTCAGCTAGCAGATCAGGGCATCCAGGCTGGGGTGGGAGTGGGGTGGAGGGGCTTACAGGGATTTAAGAAAGGAGCTTTATTCAGAACCTTAAAACTGGGTTTTAAGTAGCTGGTAGAGTGTTTGCCTAGTAAGTGTGAGGCCCTGAGTTCACACCACAGTACTGGGGGGTGGGGGAAGAACCTTAAAACCCATCCAGGGGCTGGGGGTGTATATAGCTCAGTGGTAGAACACTTGCCAGGCATTTGAGAGACCCTGAGTTCTGCCCTCAGCACCACAAACAAGACAAAACAAAAAAGACCCATCTACAAAGACTTTCCCTTTGGAAGTCATCCCAGAGCCCTGTTCCCTGCCCCTAGTATTCACGTCTCAGGGGTTCTTTGTGTTACTGTTACCACCTGGGTTCCTTAAGGGGTCATAATATTTTCTTAAATACCTTCATTCAAGTGCCCTTTCAGTAACACCTTTATGGGCCTCCCCAGCAGTTTCTTTTTATTTTATTTAATTTTTTTGGCGACACTGGGTTTGAGCTCAGGGCCTCATGTTTGCTAGGCAGGCACTGTGTGCCTGGGGATGGCTTTGAACAGATCCTCCTGATCTTTGCCTCTTGAGTAGCTAGGGTTACAGGTGTGAGCCACTGGGCCAGCTCCTAACAGAGGTGTTTTTCTCAACTTTATTTACTAGTGAGGGAAGAAAGGAATAGAGAAGTACAGCTTGTCATAAGGAGCTGTGACAGTTGTGAAGTCTAGTGAATTTGGTTTATCTCCTTATTTCTGTGCTGAGTATAAAGAAGAATGCCTAATGCCCAGCTGTCATCTGAATGGCTCTACACTGTTGACCCAGGGGGTTAAGCAGAAAGGGAGCAGGGGAGGCCCTAGGGCTCTGAGGAGGGTGGGGCAGGTAACTGAGGCTCCGTCTGCTGGCAGGATTTGACTATAATACTAAACTTTTATTTGATATTTCTGTGTGTTCATATTAGGAAATATTAGTGGCTGTGGTTTACTCCTATTGGAATCCTCATTTGTGTTAGTAAAGGTTATCATGCTTACGTATGGATTCTCATTGTATTTTTCCTCTTTCTGTAGAACTAGTTAGGACCTCTTTAGTAGGAAGACTGAAGTCCAACCTGGATTCATGACTTAGCCATCATGAATTTGGAAGCTGGGGTTAGAGCTGCAAAATGTGAAGAAGGCTGAAATGAATTTAGAAGTTTTAAACAGTGCCTAAGAACAGCAACAAAAAAATAAGTAGAAATAAGTAGAAATGAAAATACACAGTAATGTAGCTATGTCTTTGGAGTCACTGAGCAGGGGACTCCCTGAGTGTACAGTTTTAAAATACCTGCTTACTGGTGTAAATAGCTTTGCTGCTCCTCACTGGAAACAGCAAAAATAGGCTCTTGGGTCCAAGCTTGTTTTGAATCCTGGTTTTTCCATACTTTGTGCAATGAAGTCAAATGAGGGAGTAAAACAGGATCCGTGATACTCTTAGCACTCTTCCTCCTCTTGCTAAGTAATCAATGATGTGACTAGAGTGTAGAATGAAACTGCCAGAAGCGTTGCAGTTTCCTGACTCCAGCTTGGGTTTGTTCTTTGAGTCTTCCTTTTCTTTTCTCCTTCCAGTCCCTCCCTCCCTTCCTTTGTATTGTGATTATGATTTAGGTATTTTTTAGAGTTTTGTTTTGGTGATGGGAATTGAATCCAGGGACCTCATGCATGTTCATGAACAACCCAGCCCTTTGAGTTAGCTCTTTTATTTATTTATTTTTTTTCCCTGATGTAGTACTAGGGCCTTGCACTTTGCTAGGCAGGTGCTCTACCACTTGAGCCACACTCCCAGCCCAGATTAGTTATTCTTGACATCAGGCTTCTCAGTTTCTGCATAATTGTTCCAATTGTAGAAAGTTGTGAGCAATTAATTGTGGATTTAGAAGACATGATTATGGCTATTACTCGTCAAAATTCTGAGGAATAAAGACAATCTGTTAGCCATATATACTACTGTAGGAGTCCATAAATCTGTGGCGTTTTGGAGATAGTGGATGATAAGGATGGGTTTGTGGGAGCTGTGGTTGTAAGATCACTCCTTCAGTGGTAACATCACATTGTGCTGTGTGTGTTTCCTTCAGCTGGTTTCCCCATGGGCTACGCAGCAGCAGCTCCTGCCTATTCTCCTAACATGTACCCTGGAGCGAATCCTACCTTCCAAACAGGTATGTGCTGGGGAGAAGGTGAAGGGGTAAGCTTTGAGAAGGAGGGGATGTGGAATTAGGATTTGGGCTTAAGCGTATTTCTTCGTTTATAAAATTAGCATGTTGGTATGTATAAAAAAGAGCTAAATTCTTAGTGCATGTAAAGCTTTAGATACTGCATTTTTCAGCTCCTCTCAGCTTGTATGCTTCATTCTAATCAGTAGGTTGTTACAGCTAACTTTGTACCACACACCTGTTCTTGCAGTAGGACTAACTACTAGAAACTGAAGACCATCTTGCCATTGGTTTCTCCACAGCGCTTAAGCACTGTAGTCATATTTCAAAAAGAAAATGTTGTTTTCAATGTAAAGTGCTGTGTGAGAACATTTTTTAGATTTGAAAAATCACTTGAAAGTACAATTGCTTTGGTTTTGAGTCTTAAAAAATTATTGATTTAATGGGATTTCCTCCTGTGAGCCTGCACCCTGTGTTGTTGGCTTCTTTTGGATTTTATTTCTCCAGATGGGACAGTGTTCAAGATTCTTTTGAATTCCTTGCCTTTATATTCCACTCTTTTGTTCTTCTCTTCCTTTCTATCTCCAGTCCTTAGTTTCCACCCAGAGGAAAACCTTGACTTGATCGTCTCTGCTTCAAGGCTTGCTATCCTGGATTCTTGCTCTTGCCCCATTAAACTAGGGCAGTGTGCCTACGTGAAGTTTTCCTTAGTAGTTTCCCATCACTAAAAGACACAGTCAAGCCAAGAGTTTCAACTCTAAACCTTTAGCTTTTTGCCACAGGACCTGTTCTTCCTCTCTGAAACAGTTTTTTTGAGTTGTTGGCTTAGCTTTTTCCAAACACTTCTTCTCCTCCTTTGTGGTTGTCTTTGAGGCTGTTGTGGAATATCTCTTCCCTGGGGTTAGTAGTTATGACATGCTGTTATCCACTGGGTGGTTTCATGGGGCCTGCCACCTGTCTCCTTTTATGTGATGTTTTATGTTATTTAACTCTTCCTTAACAGATCTCTTGATGTACATATGACATCATAAACTGCACATAACTTCAAGTGTGCTGTTCAGTAACATATTCTGTAAAGAATATTGCCATTACAATTGGGTGTGGACACACCCCTCATTGGCAAAAGTTTTGTTCTGCCCATTTCTAACTCCCAGGTTCCAAGAAATCACGTTCTGCTTTGTCTTGCTATAGATGAGCTTGCATTTTCTAATTTTTGGAGGAAAATGGAATCATATAGAATATACTTCTTTATTTTTTTGATTGATTTTTTTTTTTTATTTGGAAAATTACTTTGACTTTCATGTTGTAGTGCGTATCAGTTCTTGATTCCTTTTTATTAGGTAGTGTTCCATTTTATGAAATACCACTTTGCTTTTCCATCTCCAGGTAGTGATCATTATTTGTAGCTGAAAGAAATTATTACAGATACTTATATCCTCATAATGTATCCTTTGTGTGGATATATACTTTTATTTCTCTTTGAGTAAGTGCAGAGAAGTGGAGTGGCTAGGCTTCATGGTGGGTAAGAAACTGAAACTGTCTTCTAAAGTAGATGTACTGTTTCCCTTAGTAGTGGGTGAGAGTTCTACTCCCATGTCCTCACAATGCTGGTAAGGTCAGACTTTAGTTTAAGCTGTCCTAGTCGATGTATAGTGAAGTGTCATGGTGATTTATCTTGAACATTCATAATAACTAACAATGTGAATGATCACTTACGTGCTTATTTGCCACCTGTATGTCTTTGGTAGAGTTTGTGTCCATCTTTTACTGTGCCAGTTACTGAGTTTGTTAAATTCTTTTTTAGTGTGGTAAGTTGATAGGCAGATGCCCATACATTTGTTCTGAGCTTATTTTTTTTTTTTTTTTTTTTTGGTGGGACTGGGGTTTGTATTCGGGGTTTTGAGCTTGCAAAGCAGGCTTTGAGCCACACCTCCAGTCCATTTTGCTCTTGTTATTTTGGAAATGGGCGGCAGGTCTCACAAGCTATTTGCATCAGCTGGCATTGAACCTCAATCCTTCTTATCTACCATCTCCCTAGTAGCTAGAATTACAGTCCTGAGCTACCAGGACCTGGCCTGAGCCTGCTTTCTCATACATTTCCTCACTTCTGCCCTCATGACCACACTTAAAGTTGGTATTGATAGCACACAGAAAGCTGAGGCAGGAGGATCTTCAGTATGAGGTCAACCTGAGCTACTTAGTGCCTTTGAAGTCAGTTGATACTGTTCCTCCCATTTTATCAGAAAGATTAAGCAATTGACCCAAATTCAAGTAATCAACAAGGGCAGAATTTTTTTCTTTATTAGCATAATACAGTTGCACAGGGAGCATACAGTGTGACATTTACATATGTACTTACAATTATCTTAATTAGATTTACCCCCTTCATCATTCTCCCTCCCCTCCACCCACCTGTAAGGTCAGAATTTTGGAGCTGGGAATGGTGGTAGGAGCCTGTAGTATTTGGTTTTATTTTTATATATTTATTTTTTTAAAGAAATGGGCTGCCCAGGCTGACCTCACACTCCTGGACTCAAGTGATCCTCCTGCCTTAGCCTCCCTGGTAGCTGGACTGCAGGTATACTACCCTGCCCAGGGCCTGAGTTTGTTTTCTATTGTTGAGTTTTGAGACATCTTTATCTAATAAATGATTTGCAGAGATTTTCTCCTAGTCTGTGGCTCCTTTTCATTTTCTTTATTTTTATATGTTTTTGTGTGTGGGGGGTAGGTACTGGAATTTGAACTCGGGGCCTATTCCTTGAGATGGGTATTTTGAAATCGGGTCTCCTAGAACTATTTGCCTGGGGTGGCTTCAAATGCGATCTTCCTGAGTAGCTAAGATTTCAGGCATGAGCCACTGCACCCAGCTTTTTTCACCTTCTTAGTTGTGTATTTCAGAGTGCATTTTTTAAAAATTTGATCAGGTTCACTTTATCCTTTTTTTAATAAATTATACTTTTGGTATCCTATCTGAGAAATCTGTATAACCTAAAGTCATAAAGATCTTTTGTCTTGTAGAAACTTTGTAATATTAGCTTATACATTTAGGCCTACAGTCTATTTGGGGTTAATTTTTGTTTGTGGTGCTACGTTAGATTTAAGTTCATTTCTTGTGTATTAGTGCTTCATGTGGCCGTGCTGTAGAATAGAATAGGTTACTTTCCTAGAATTTCAAAGGAAACAGGCTATCTCACCTTCACTTATTTTTTTCAAGGAGCACAAGTTAGTATGAGCATGTGTTACAAGGATTGCCAACTCATTTTACCATTTTACAAAAGGCCACAGGTTCATTTGAGGCTGATGTTTTTAACTGTCCTTGCTACAAGTGTGCAGCCCTTCCCTGCAGAGGTCAGTGCTACTGACAGTGTTCTTACTGGGGGTGTCTGTGGGTCAGGTGTAGTCCACTTCCCTCAGCCCTCCTGTCTTAGAGGGGGATGAGTTCTTTCTTGTCCCTTTTCCAAGACTGCTTTCAAATGGATCCTCTAGCTCAGAAGCTGGGATAGGCTGGGTAGAAGCCATAGCTTCCTGTTGAAGGGGTGACCACTGGTGGGGGTATCCCCTGCTGGCCTAGCAGTGACTGATTTTACGGGTTTTTAGAAGGAGCTGGGAATAAAAATTTTTATGTGAGATTGGTGAATGAAAGAATAAAAAGATATTTGGGGGTCCTGCTGATGTCCCATGGTGCTGTTGGACACCAACCTGGCTGTGGGCCACAGCTCCACTTATTTTTTCTGGGTTCATGGGGTGCTTTGCTGTTTTTGAATCTTTTATTCTCCTTTTTCGTTGGGCCTTTCCCTTGTCTGAAGAATAAGCCAAAGCCATCCCTGTAAAAAAAATTAGGAAGAAAAAGTTGCTCTCCATTCTTGCTGCTTGTTTGCTTTCTTTTCCTTCTTTCCCTCCCCCTTTTTTTGTGTGTGTTTCATAACAGGGTCTTGCTATGTAGCTGGTCTTGAACTTGAGATCCTCCTTGTTTCCACCTCCCAAGTGCTGGATTATAGGTCTGTACCACCATGCCCAGCTTCCTGCTGCTTTCTTTGATCTGCCTTCTGGTTCTCTTCCCAAATTTGCAGACAAAGCTGACCTGTGGTATAGGTACTGAATGTGTGGAGTAGCTTTCTGTGTGCTTTTATAGTCCTAGTATTGCTCATTTCTTAGCCCTCTTCCAAGTGTGGCACACAAGGTTCAGAGAACCTTGGGATGAGACGTGTCTTTTGGCAAAGGGTATCATTACTTAGTCTGGAAATGGAGACGATGTCATTCAATTTGTCCTGAACAAACGTAGGCGTAGGCTGCTGTCCATTTTCCGGATTGGAGTTTAGGACTGAGTTAGCTAGGTGTTGCGTTATTCCTGGGAAAGTGTTTAACTTCACTCCTGGCAGTTGTATGATGAATGGATCTACTGGTAGTTGTATTATTGGAAGATCACAGTCCCAAGCTCATGGTCACATGTCGATCTCAGTGGGGCAGGCTTGGACCCAGCCAGCACTTTCAGGCTTCCCCATTCTGGTCTTCGCAGCTGTCAGCACCTGACACTGCTATTTGCGGTGATGATCTGAAGTTGCCTTGGATGCATTCAGCTCTTTGTAAGTAAGTTCTAGTAAGAAATGGTACTACATCAGTCACTACATGTTTACAAAGGTGAAAATATTGCTCGGAGTGATATTCTAAGGCAATAATAAGATGTGCAAGCATTTATATACAAGTACAGACCACATGGTGTTATCTGGTTTTAGTACTTGCTTATGGAGGGTATTTAGTGATAAGTCAGAAATGTTTTAAAGCAGCTGTCTTTTGTCGTTCTTCAGAGACACCAAAGGATTATTGTGGGAAACTTTGTCATTGTTCTTGATGTTCACCTCAGGAAATTAAAGAGCCAGAATACACTGATTCCTTTGTAATCCCATGAGATAACAACACATACATATATATGCATGAATATGTACATACATATATATATGCACACACACTATATATATGTATACCTAAAATGTTTGTGTTTAATTTTTTTCAACACTAAAAATACATTTTGAAAGCAAATTGTCACTTACAAAAATAGTTCTTTTTAAAAACACTGCATAAGTGTTTGTTCCTTTCACATCTCCTTCATAATTGGATAATCCAATAGATTAGAGAATCCTGAAATTTTTTTAATGACAACAACCCCATGTCCCTATGGATTGGCTTTTTTTTTTTTTTGGTGGCCCTAGGGTTTGAACTCGGCCTCACACTTGCAGGTGCTCTTACCACTTGAGTCAATCCACCAGCCCTTTTTTGTGATGGGGTTATTCGAGATGGGGTCTCGTGAACTATTTGAGTCTGGATCCTCCTCGTGAGTAGGTAGGATTACAGGTGGGAGCCACCAGCATACGGCTACATGGACTGGCTTTTGAGGGAGGGGGAATCTGGAAGGCTATTGCTGTTTTTGAGAGACCTGGCACTGAATATGTTTGGTTTTCTGTGGTGAATGATGGAAAGTTTAAAGGTATTTTAGAGAAACAGTGTCTATTTTGGATACTAGGAGGTGACATTGTGTGTATTTGTTTAAATTTGTGAATTTCTGATTACTCTTGTAGGATATAGCACACCCTGACTTTTTATTGACAGCATATCTGTCTTCCTTGAAACTGATTTGCCTTAGAGACTGGATAGAAAGTGATGTAACATCCATTCCTATACAAGGACCAAAAGTAGTTTTCTGGGGAGGACTAAGGCATAACTTTTAGTCATGAAAACCAATGACATGAAAATACAGATTCAAAACTATTGCTGTAATTCGTAGAAATAGTAGGTGATTTAATTTTTCAGCTTTTCAAATATATGAAATACTGAAAAAACATTCACAGTAAACATTGTGTGAACTGCTAAGAAGAGTTCAACGTTTTACCACTGACTTTGCAGGTAACATTTGTCATCATAGACATACCCATCCTTTAGCCTATTTTATTTTTTGGCGGTTTTGGGGGTGGAACTGGTGGCCTCACACTTGCTAAGCTTGTGTTCTACTTCTTGATCCGCCCCCAGTCCTTTTGCTTTTAGTTTGCTTTTCAGATAGTGTCTTACACTTTTGCCCAGGCTGGCTTCAAGCTGCAATCCTTGTATCTCCGCCTTCCAAAGTAGATGGGAAGGCTGGTAGAGTGGCTCAAGCAGTAGAGTGCCTGCCTGGCAAGCATGAAGCCCTGAGTTCAAATCCCAGTATCACCAAAAAAAATGAAGCAGCTGGGATTATAGATATGCACCACTGCACCCAGTCCATAGCTTATCTTTTTGATGCACTTCATTTTAGAGCAAATTGTGGGCCTCAGTTTACCTCACCCCCAATAACGTCAGCATATGTATTATTAATGTTTGTTTATAGTTCCTTTTTAGTAAAATTTACATATGTGAAATGCACATACTTTAAGCATGTGGCTCATTTCATTCTGAAAGATGCCTTTTGCTGCAGCAAAGCCTGCATGTGAGGCATGTGTTATAAAAGACATCTCAGGCCATTTGGAGGGATTTCCTAGGAGGAGGTTTCCAGTAGAGAAAGAAGACCTCATAGGTTGGCTTGTCATTGGTTGTATAACCTAAGGGATACATAGGAGCGAGAAAGTACTTCACTTTTTTCTATTAGATATAGTGGCCAAAAGAGTGCTGGCTCAGAGAAACCCCTCTAGAGTACTGTGTGCCCAAATGGTCCTCACTTGGGTGTTACACTCTGTCATCCTAGAAGTGTGTTCAAGTCAGCAGCTTCCATTCTGTCTTCAAGCCAAGCTCTTTGCAGTTTGAATGGTGGCAGAGTGGTTGTGTGCTTTCTTGTTAGGAATATCAGTGTGGATCTTTTTAAGGATCTGCTTGCTGCAGATTACTTCCAGGTTGTGAATTCGTTGCTTGTTTTCCCTTCCTCAGACAGCATCTCCTATCTTTTCTCCTTTGTGACACAGTGGCTGTGTATACTGAACAGCAGCAGGTCTTTGTTCTTCCAGCCGTGCCTAATTGCCATGCCATCTCTCAGATCTGACCCACACCTTGCTGATGGCCTTCTCAAGGCTCAGCTTGGGGCTGCATTGGGATGTGGCCATCAGGTGTGACCCTCTCTCTGTTGTGTATCACCACTGTCTGAAAACATGTCTTACCTTATTTATTATAAAAAAATTCAAATACACAGAATATGTGGGAGAACAGTACACTGCAGTTCAGCTACTCAGGAGACAGAGGTTGAGAGAATATTCAAGGCCAACTCAGGCAAAAAAGTGAGATCCTCACCTTAACAAATAAGCTAGGTGTTTTGTGGTCGCTACATCCATCAGAAAAACATCTGATCTCAGCTATGAGGGACACATAGGTAGGAGTCCCAGTCTGGCCCAGGCAAAAAATGAGACCCTACTTGGAAAAATAACTTAAAAGTAGAAAGGGCTGGGGGTGTGGCTGAAGTTGTAAGAGTGCTTGCCCAGGAGGTGCAAGGTCCTGAGTTCATACCTTAGTACAAAAAAAAAAAAAAATCCCAGCAGGCAAATGCCATAACACCTGCCACTTGGATCTACCAGTTTTTGTTTCCCCCTGTTTTATCTGTGTAAGGATAAGTGTATGTGTGCGCTTGCTTTTTTATCCTGCTGAATTCTGTGTGTAGCTTTTGTGGCTCTTGTCTTGGGGGCCTAAGAATGACCGTTCTGTCATAGCAGTGAGGACGCTCATCTGTGTGAGCATTGTCAAACTTGTCAGTGGCTTTCTGTAACTTTATTTAGTATTTCATGTTCAGATTTGCCCAATTATGCCTGTTGTTTCTGGTGACCCCCTTGCCCCCACTACTGGGGACTGAACCCAGTGCTTGTGCATGCTAGGTAAGTGTTCTGCCATTGAGCTGCTTTCTGAAGTCCTTGGGGTTTTGGGTTAGGGTCCGCCTATGTAGCCCAGGCTGGCCTTGAACTATCAATCCTCCTGTGTCAGCTTCTTGAGTGCTGGGATTAAAGGAGAATGGTACCATGCCCATCATGCCCAGCTAAGAAGAGTTTTTATCATAGTTTCAACTATGTATAAAGTATGTGGGAGTGTAATCCCCACTCACTGGTGACCTGGCCTTAGCAGTTCTCAGCTCAGAGGTGATACTCCCATCTGTACTTCCACCACTTACCTCTATACTATTTTAAAGCCATTCTCAGATTGTATGCATGATTTTTAGAAGTATCTTTAAAGACAAATTAAATTATATATAATCATGTCATTGTTACACCTAAAAATAATAATTCCTAATGTTCTCAAAAGTACAGTGTTTCAGTTTCTGGTTGTCTTATCTGTGTTATGAGCATTTTTAAATTGTGCAATGAAGAAAGGGAGTACTGCTGTTTTGAACCACCTAACAACTGGCTAGTACCAGAAGTTCTGAATGTGGCTCCCAACTTTTACATCTAGCATCTTTTTTGCAGGGAGTTGTTGGGTTGGGGATAGGGCTTGAACTCAGGGCCTCACATTAGCTTGATAGGCGCTGTACTACTTGAGCCTCTCCACCAGCCCTACATCTAGCATCTTAAAGTGTGTACACAGTATGCTTCCATGAGTATTTTGATTCTAACACTTCTTTAACAAATTGTTAATGTCTTGGTCAGATGTGACACTTGATTGAGGTCAGTGGAAATAATGGGGCAGAAACTGGACTTATAGAGTGGCTACCTGTGAACTAACACTGTCTTGGGGTGGGGGTCTTGCTGCTGTGGTGTGGTTTTAGTCCTGAGAAGTGAAGATGAGAGTTTATTTCCCTACCCTCATCCCCATCTTTGCCCTCTACCTTGATCTGACTCCTGCTGGCCTTCCAAGATGTGTAATGCTGCCATGTCAGTGGTTTGGTTTCTGTGATTTTCTTCTGAATTTAAGTACCTGGTGGAGAGGGCTACATCTGTCCTCATCTCTGTAGCAGGGCCTGACCTTGTGTCAGTGACAAACAGATGGTGGTGCAGTGCTCCCATGGCTGTGCGTAGTCACAAGTTTGCCTGCTTTGTGCCATGCTCGTTTTCTTTTTTGCTAGGCCAGTCACTTGGGAAGAGGTCCAGCTCTGCAGGTTTCAGAATGCTATCCATTCTTGGTGTCTGTAACTTTATATCATCTTCTTTCTTAATTGCCACTCTGGGTGGGGGCAAGGGTAAGCATTTGTGCCCCCTTGACCCACAAGTCCCTAGGGAGCTTTGCCAGGCCCTGATGCCTGGAATGTTTTTGCTATAATGAACCGCACTGTGGTGAGCTTGCTTGCAGTGAAGTCTTTGCGTGTGTTTACTTTTGAAAGACAGATTTCTAAAAGTTAGTTGTGAGATTAAAAGACATAAGCACTTTTAATGACAAATAGAGCCCAGGAAGTCTGTTCCAATTTATATTCCAGAAGATAGGACAGACATTTCTTGTTTTTTGTTTGTTCGTTTTGGTGGGACTGGGATTTGAACTCCGGCTTCACATTTTCAAAGCAGGTACATACTACCCACGGAACCACACCTCCAGTCCATTTTGCTCTGGTTATTTTGGAGATGGGGTCTCATGAACGATTTGCCTAGTCTGGCCTTAAACCGCAGTCCTCCTAATCTCAGCCTCCCAAGTAGCTAGGGTTACAGGCATGAGCCACCAGCGCCCAGCCTTCTTTCCTGTTGTTGTGTGAGTACAAGAACTTTGTAGAATGTTCTCCTCCCAAGCCCCTACCCGCACTTGGACGCACAGCTGCAGAGTCTAGCTAGGTCTCAGTGGAGGAGGGATGGGGCAACATTGGCAACAGATCTTGGCTGAGTTGCTGCCTGGTTTCTTCCTGCATGCTTGTTCTTCCTGGGTCTGGCGTGGGCTCTGGTGAACTCAAGGTTTTTGGCTTCTTTGTTCCAGGTTATACTCCTGGCACCCCTTACAAAGTGTCCTGTTCCCCCACTAGCGGGGCTGTGCCACCATACTCCTCTTCCCCCAACCCTTACCAGACGGCTGTGTACCCCGTGAGAAGTGCCTATCCCCAACAGAGCCCATATGCCCAGGTATGCTTGGGCACGCCCTGCACTGGGGAGGGAGGGTTGGTTCCATCAGGTGTCCACAGCCGTGGGACTCTGTGGCAGTTGTCTCTCTTCTCTCCACAGCAAGGCACATACTACACACAGCCGCTGTATGCAGCACCCCCTCACGTCATCCACCACACCACAGTGGTGCAGCCCAATGGCATGCCAGCGACTGTGTACCCTGCTCCCATCCCTCCTCCTAGAGGCAATGGGGTCACCATGGGCATGGTTGCTGGGACCACCATGGCCATGTCGGCAGGTGAGTTCTTGTTCCTGGGGCCTTGTTCCTCCTGTGTCTGTTCAACAGCAGCATGAGAGCTGGGGTGAAGTAGGGGGAGCCCCTAAAGACTTTGGCCTTTGGCTCTGACTTTCAGTTGTGTGGAAGGACTGCATACTCCCTTCTCCTATCAGGAGTGTGGGGTGTAGAGTAACAAACTTTGAACTGAGTGACCTTCCTCTTGGGGCATAACTGAGGAGCACTGACTGAATTAGATGGAATCACTGTGTGGTGAGCTTGGTGGGCCATTTAGCATTTTGATGAGGAGTGACCAAATGCCTCTGGCCTCTGTCCCCTGTGAGCATGTACAATTTGAATAGAGGGGGCCACCTTATGTTCTAGGTGGACTGGCCCTCTTAATTCTTCTCTTTAATGGGAGCTGCCTTACAGGACGTGTCTTTAGTTCACATTGCATAATGGGAATGTTTGCATGAATCTAGGAAAACTGGTCTTAAGTGTGTTGTATTAGTTAATAGAGGTAATAACTACTTGTAGAATCCCTTTGACATTTATCTTTACTTTCCCAGGTCTGTCTAAGTCATGAAAATAGAAAAATAGAAAAGGGTTGGGGATGTCTCCGTGGAAACCTGGGGCTTGCTTTTGTCTAGGGATGAGATCACCTCCTGGCCTTTGGGCAAATGTGGCTGCTTTCAGAGTACAGTTGTTTGCCCATGACTAGGATTTAAACACACACACACACACACACACACACACACCACACAGAGGTCATGCTAGAAGGAAAGGTACTGCAGGATTCTGAGTGTTTCTGCTAAGAATTTTCATTTCATTTGGCATTCCTGTACTTGCCTGTCAAGGCAGAGAAGACTGACACGGACAGAGGTTGTGGGCCTCAGACCCCTGGAGGGAGGTGTGTGGAAAGCAGCAAGTAATGCCTGAATTTGAGGTGGTGTTTACTCTGAGATAGACTCAGGTGGTCACTGCATTTCTGAAGTTGTAGGAAAAATGTGTTTCTCTTGATGTACTCAGAAGCTCAGGGAGTATAAAATCCCCACCTCATATTTTCCCTTTTTTTTTAAATCATGCTAACCACTTGTTAGTATGCAGTTTAATAGTATTAACTATATTCACATTGTTGTAAAACATCTCCAGAACTTTCATCCCAAAGATGTGAAAATCCTGTACCTATTAACAAAAATACTCTAAATTTGATACCTTTTAAGCGTCCTGTGTATGTGGAATTAATGCACAGCATTTGTCCTTTTGTCATGGGCTTCTGCACTAAACATAGGTTCTCAGGGTTTGCCTTTGTTACACATGTGTCAGAATTCCTTTAAGGCTAAGAATATTTAGTTTTTTATTTGTAGTTTATCATCTGATCTGTAAAAATAATTGTGCATGCTCTATGAAGGGGAGGCACAAAAAGCCTTTTATAAACATAACTGTCGATACAGGCTTGCTCTGAACACCTTTCAGTAACAATGCATCTTTTAGTTTTTAGGATAATCCAGTGAGTTTTGACCTTGCTCTGAGTCAAGACCATGTGCTTCTCCTTCACAACATGACCATGCCCGTAGGCTTGTCAGAGGTTGTGTGTAGCTGGGCTGAGCAAATCTCCCTGTGAGCGTGTAGGTCCTTCTCATGTGTAACATGCTGCTCTTTCTTCCAGGTACCCTGCTGACTGCTCATTCCCCAACTCCTGTTGCCCCTCACCCAGTCACTGTGCCCACTTACCGGGCCCCAGGAACACCCACCTACAGCTATGTGCCCCCTCAGTGGTGATTACCCTGCAAATAAATGTAAGTGACCAGTAAAGGCTGGGTGGGCCCTGGCGAAAGTGTATTTCCCTGTGGAGAACGGTACTAATTAGGAAAACGCACCTGAGCCTTGATCCAAGAGCGATGTGTTCTTACTGGGACTACACAAAGCAGAGAACAGAGGGGAACCATTGAGTATTTACTGTTTACTGTTTACACTGTGCATCCTGATCTGTCTGGAATGTTCTTGCATTTCCCTCCTTCCTGCTGTGGGAAATAGGGTTCTGGTTGTAACTGGATGTCACTGTCAGGTGGGTGGGAACCAGGTCCACTGGCCACTCTTTCAGGCCCCAGTGACCCTTGGACCTGAGTTTTTGAACAGTGGTGCCAGAAGAGTTCAAGTGACTGTCCGCCTGTCGTTCTCCCCCAGGTGTAAGGATGGAGCTGTGCAGTCACATCATTGAGTTCCACAGCTGGTGCTGCAGGCCATGTGCCTCCAACCAGGACTTTCTTCTTAATGCTCTCGACACTTAGCTAAACACGACTACGTCCCGGCCCAGCAGGCCCCAGCGCCGTTAGTCTCCAACTAACTCTGTGGGTTGCTCCTAAAGCAAATCCTGTTTTGTGGACTGCCTGGCAATTTTTTTAGCTAACTGTAACGATAAAAAAGGGAGTATTAATCTATTCTGAATCATATCTAGTTGAATGCATGTTTTAAAAAACAAACACAAACAAAGCTTGCTCAATCTACCTGCAGTGACTGATGCAAAACCATCATATGCAAAACCCAAAGGAATGGAAACATATTTTACAACTTGTATCACTAATGCACTGTTGTAATGTATGCAGTCTTCAAGTTACATGTGTTAAAAGTGAATTTCCTCATAGAGCATCTGGAATAACTGAGCTGATCTTCAGCTACTTGGGGTTGATGTGGTTGCCAGGTGAGGATGTGGACTTTTAGTTTTCATCCACCTGTTTCTTTGGCACTGACTGAACCAGAAGGGAGCTGCTGCAGGAATGGGGAGAGTGGGAAGGCCACAGTAGTTCCGCACAACTGGTTAGTGGATGTCCCTTTCCTTCCGTTTAGGCTTGGTGGGTTCTGGGAAGCAGGGACTAAAGATCATCATGCAAGATGAGAGTTGTGTTAGTCAGTACAATGTGGGGTAAGAGGTGGTCTGCATGTCAAGATAGCAATAGTCCCTGCCATTTAAGTAATCATTACATGCCTCTTAACAGATCAGAACGAGGCTTTGTATATCTATTGGAAAGTCCTGTGTAGAGCTAAATTATTTTCCTGGGATGGAAGATAAATGAAAGAGAAATAGCCACACTTGGAGGAAGTATTGTCCTCTCTTTTATTTAGCTTAGAAAGTCATTCCTTTTTTTTTCTCTCTCTGAGAAATGTTTGAATCAGCTGAAAACGTGTCTGCACCCCACAGAGGGCAAAGATTTTAAACTGTGTGTTATGGAGAAAGTTGTATATTTATGAATGATTAAAAGGGAACAAGACTGTATTTAAAATTTCTCATGTTTCTTATAAAGAGGCAGGGCTGTGGATGTATTTGAAAATACAGAAACATGAAACTTGTCCTGGGGCCATACCTATTGGTGACTTGACCTCTGTGATTGGCTGAAGAGGACTAGAGCTGGGGTAGGAAAAAAGAGCTGTGTGTGTCTGTGGTCCGTGAGTCTCATCTCTTCTTGCAGCTGAAGGCACTCAGCACCAAGTAAGTATGGACAGCAGAAAGATCCAGGCAGCATTGGAATATACTTGGCTGCCAGAATCTATTGTGAAAAGATTTTGAGTTTAAAATCTGAATATGTACATAAGAAATCAAGAGGTTTTTTTTTTTTTTTTGGCTTAAATATACCCAGTTCTCATCATCGGGAGTGTGTATCTGTTCTCAGTGGGGGGCCAGAGGGTTGAAGGCATGAGGACTCATTCCCTTTCAGGGGTCTCTCAGTCAGGCCACATCTTCTTCCCATCCCATCATTGTTTGAAATACTGTGTGCTTTGGTTGGAAGGGGAGTCTGTGCTTCTGTCTCTGGCAGCTGGTCAGTGCTCTGGCGCTGGGGTGGAGGTCGCCTCATTAGTGGTCAGCCTGGCAAGCAGGTTGAACACCTGGCCACTGAGCTTTTGGCAACCCTATTTTTTATAGTAATGCCCTTCATAATTTTATTTTAACATTTCATAAAAAGTTTAGGAAGATTTTTGCATGGATCATTATAAACAGAAGATTCCTTACTCCCAATGTCCATTAACATAGATTGTTTACTGCTAAGTACTTTAAGCGCTTCATGAGCACTTAACCTGTGTGTGTGTGTGTGTGTGTGTGTGTGTGTGTGTGTGTGTGTGTGTCCATGTGTGTCCATTCCCGCAAGTCTGTGGTGGTGACCCCATCTGTGTTTGCAGTATCAGTAGATTCCAAGGGTTCCAGGGTCTTAACAAATCGAGAAGGCAGTTTTCCCAGGTGAAGGATCATAGGTCAGGAGAACATACCCGTGATTTTAGTATATGCTTTTAAAAAAGTTCCCCACGAAAATGGCAATATACAGGAACCCTTGCCTGAAAGGGGTGACGTTAGTTGCCTTCGGGAGGAAGTTACCTAGGCTGTTTCCAGGCCTGCTCGAGGCTGGCACACATGGTGTGTATTTTCAGAAGAAAGAATGGGTTGCATCCCCTCCCATTGGTTACGTCAGCTTCATAAACACGTTTCCTTACGATTTTAAAAAATCTTTTCTTGTGAAAGTGAATTGAGAGACTATCAAATCAAATACTTCTGCATTGTATGATTCATCTGTGTGGACATCTTTTTCAATTTTGAAACCATCAGGGCATCAGCTGTGAAATTTAAAGATTTTAACCTAACAGCATTCAGTTCTAGTAAAATTAAGGACTAAAACTAGGGTCAGTATTCTGTTCCAAAACTGAATTATTTGGTATCCCAAAAAAATTGTGAGATTTTTTTCTTTGCTTTTTGTGTGTGTGACATTCCTGATTTGAGAGTCTTTCAACTGAACTGTTGTTCTTTTATAAGTTGAGACAGGCAAGCAAAGCAAAGGGCCTAATTCCTGTAAACATGGACATCATTATGGCTGTTTTTTAAAGTTTGCTCTCTGCCTTTTCCCCTGAGGCTTGGGAGGTGTGTATTCATTTGCTGTGTAGTTGTTGCTGCTCCCTGCTCACAGAAATCTAGTTTGGATGTGGGCTGGAGGTTGGGTGAGTCTGAGAAGTGAGGCCACCCTCAGGACATGGCCAGTCGGATAACTGGCAGGAAAGCACTTTGAGAACCTGTATGTCTATTGTGATCCATCTTTGAGAACATTCCAGTTGGTGTTCTGTGAAACCATTTCTCTAGTGCTGTGCAGGAGGCATCTGGCATGGAGTGTCCTGCACTTTCCTAGCCAAGCAGCCCTACTGCCTACTTTGTCCCAGCTGCCACCTTGCTGGGACAGAGCCAGCCCAGGAAATAATTTGTGTGTGTTTTGTGGGGGAGAAGTCAGCAGCAGGAAGGAGCTGATCTTTGGATGGTATGGAGTGCCCTGACCTCTTGAGAAGGGCTTGGGCTTTTGTGAGGGTGCCAGTCAACATGGTAAGAGGCTGGCACACACCAGCCATAGTAAATATTGGGGCAGCTTTATAAAGGAAGTTCACATTTCCTCACCTGACCTTTTCAACATTTGGAAATAGTATTACTCTGATCCGTTGGGCCGCCTTCTCTCATCAAGCAGCTGATAGTTGGCTGCTGCAATTACTGGTTGGCTGGCACTGCCCAGATGGCATAGGACCTCCTGCGGTGCAGTGACAGGTGGGGTGGCTGCTGGTCCCTTCTCTCTGGTGCTTTCTGAGGGGATCTCCAACGTGTAAGGAGTGTGCCTCAGGCAGGGCTTGGCTTAGCTCACTTGCCCCACACATCCCTGGGGTTGTGTATGTTTTTTCTGAGCTGCTCACGACTCCCCTGTACTTCCTGAAAGGCAGCCAACTTTGGGATATACTACAGATGACATACTGAGGGGAGGGTGTGCCCTTGGTAGGAATGGTGAAATTGGTCTCGCAGGGCTCAGAGGATTTGTTCCCATACCCAGTTCATTTGATAGAACAGAAAACATTCTAGTCCAAAGTACCAAATCAGTTGTTACTTGGGATGAGGATACAATGATAGCATGTGTGTCCAGGGAGCTCCAGTGCACTTCGGGAGGGATAGGGTGTCCCAGACAAGCACTGCAGGGGGCTGTCCAGGCAGGGTAGCTGTGGGCTGTGGTGCAGACAGTGGGCAGTAAAATATAGACTAATTGGGCCAGATCTGAGACTGGCTTCCCATAGGGTTGCTGTGCCAGCCAGTCAGAGGGGAGGCCCTAGGGATCCTCATGGGCTGTGGCTGAAAAGGAAATGGTTCCTTTTTTTTTTTTTTTTCCCTGTAATTTTTAAATACTCTTTTTTTACACTGTTGGTACTTTTTTTTAAGCTTAAGTCAGCATTGTCTTCCAGTGTTAAAAGGCATCCCTCGCCTCTGCATTGAACTTATGTGTCAATACAAAAGAATGGACCATCTGTCCTGAGCCAGTTCAATTAGGTGTAAATTCATACAATTTTAATTTTTTATGCAATCTGATGAGTAGATGAGCTCAGATTTAAAATTCTTCAAAGCACGTTTATTGTAACAAGAATTGTTATGTATTAATACTGCAGTTTTCAATAAAGATTGACTTGTGTTGCATATTGTGGTTTTCACGATTTTTTCCATGTGGGTTCTGTCCAGAGGTAACTTGGCTTGAGTAGGAGGAGGTACTACAGTTTCTCATGAGTCAGTAGATTGCCAGGAGTGTTGGCTCAGAACCAGGGGCCTTGGCCATGCTTAAAGGAGCTGTTCTCCCAGATAGGATAGGGACAGAGGCAACATTGGGCTCCTCTTTTGTGGCTGGGGTGTTCTTGGGAAGATTTGTTTCCTCCTTCATCAGGGAGGATGCTGAGGCCTGGACCATTTGTGTGTCAAACCCATATTTTCACTTACACACTATGGGAGCAGCTGAGGATGCAGCAGGCCTCCAAGCCCTGGGGAAAGGGTAGAAAGGGACATTCAGTATACCCCACACTTGGTCCAGCTCTGGGGCCTGCTTTCCACTTCCACTGCTTGTGCTACTGTCTCCCTTGAGCTCCTGGAGCATGTTGCCAGCCACCTGAGTCTGCGTCTATCCCCACCAGAGCCCCAAAGACATGGCTAGCCCCTAGCAAGCACCCCCACACCCCCTTTCTCCCACACACACCTCTGGAGCTGCTGGGCTTGTTCTTCTGTAGAGAAAGGCTTAGGGCAGAGAGGGCAACAGGCACAGGAAGGTTGGGTGGATGCATAGGAGAGAAAATGTACACACACAAAAACAACTGCTGCCAGCCGGGTTATTTTTCACAAGTTTTTTTATGAAATTAAACGTGTTTTCTGGCTTGGAGAAGGAATAGTGCAAGAGTGACTGTCCACACTGCTGAATCCTGCGGGCTCCGGACTGACATGCAGGCCTAGGCTGTGCTGCCAGGGCTCTTGTGGGATGTGGGCCCTTGCCACACACCCATTCCTGGGGTGGGTGGGTCAGTCAGTCCTGGGTGCTGGGCTGCAGAATTCAGTCCTTATGGCTTCTCACGCTCATTGGGATAAGGCAATCTTTCCGTGTCACAGTTATTTTTCTCCATTGTTAGAAAAACAAGATGACAAAATCCAAACAAAAACACGAACCAGATGGTTCTGTAGCCACTCCATGGCTACAGGTGGACTGGTCCCAAACCTGGACCAGAGTATGTGGCTGACTATGGTTTTGTTCTTCCCACTACACACACATCACAAGTGAAAGGGTGTCCAGCAGCCAGCATAGAGAGGGGCCGGGAGGCAAAAGGGCAGCTCTGGGCCAGATGTTTGGGCAGAGAACTCCTGGTTCTTGCCCTCCAAGATTGTGAGTGGCCTGGCACCACCAGCTGAGTCGGGGACCTGAAAGAACTGGAGAGCAAAGGGGCACCCAGCGTGGCTTTGCAGGTAGCTGGCAGCCTTAGAGGAGATTTGTCCTGCCCGGAGAATCAGGAGTGGGGATGATTCCAAAGCAGATAGAACCTTCTGCATGTCAGCCTGGTTGTTTCTGGGCTGTGGTTCCCAGGCTCAGTTGGTGGAGGCCCCACGCAGATCTGTAGTAGGCAGAGGGGGCAGTGGGCAGGGTACGTAGAGGTGCTCGTGCGTGTTTGGGGTCCTGCCTCTCCCAGCTGATCTCTTCCCTGAACCAAGGATGGGAGCACAGACCTGTGTACCCTGGGGCACCAAGCAACTCCCAGACACAGCCCTGCTCACTTCCAGCTTGCAAAACAGGAGGGTCTGTTGGAGTGGGCCTCTGGGGAGAGAAGCAGGTACCGTGGGGTGGGCAGATCCACAAAGTGCTGTCAAGTGGCTGCTGGCTCACTTGCGGAAGGGGGTGAGCCTGCTGATGCTGTGCCAGAAGGTGGTTGGCTTCCACCTGGGCTCCTCCAGCACCAAGACCTGCTGCTGGGGCCGACTGGTGGGCAGTGTCGGGTGCTTCTGGCGAGTCAGGTAGCAGGGCCTGCTGACGGCTGGGCAGGGAGAGATAGCAGTGGTCATTGGTGTCCTGGGTGTCAAGTGGCACAGGACGCTGGGGCCCATTCAAGGTCTCTGCCTCAGACTCCCATGTGAGAGAGTTTTCCCACACAAGGCTTCCCACATAGGGCTGATAATATGCAGGAGCCCAGGCTGCCTGGAGCCTCTGGCCTGGGCTTTGCTACTGCAGCCTGAGGCAGGCCAGCCAGAGGCCCTGCCCAAGGCATGTGATGTTTTGTCTGTGGAAAGGTGGAGCTAGGTCCTTCCTGGGCAGCTGTGAGTGTCAGGCAGCAGCCTGGGGGAGTGAGCACTGTCCCTCATGGTACCATCCGGAGAGGATGGAGGGGTCAGGAACAAGAGCAACCATATACCGACGCAAGTTTTGTCATCTGTGGCCCTTATTACCAGCCTTTGGGAACACACGCCTGGAAAGGGCAGCAGGCACTTCTGTGGAGGTCCAGGGGGCTAGATAGCTTTCCTTTGAGCAAGAATGTAACAAACGGCAGGGTAGTGGGATTACCACCCACTTACCTTTGGGCTTCCCTGTGGCCTGCTTGCTGGCATTCAGCATGGCCTGCTTCCTCTGCAGCTCTGTGATGGAGAAGCCTGTGGGGAAGAGCACACGTGAAACTCCACCTCATCTTCCTACCGCCCTGGTGTTGTCCTCCCATAATGTCCAGACTTCCATCAAACTGATCCCTGGCCACAGCAGGGGCTGGTCCAGTCCTGCTCAGCCAGTCTGCCTTGCCAGCCAGGGCAGAGGATGAAAATCCCCACGCTTGGTCTTTGCCCCTCCATCTTTGGACCCCATGCCTCACTCCCACCTGTCCAGTGTGTCTCTCCACTGTGGTGGAGGCTCTTTTCCAGAACCAGAGCCAAACTGGTCACTGCTGTGTGTGAAGTTGGGGCCCATGAACAGGATGGGGAGATGTCCGCTTACCTGGGGCAGGGAGGGTTTCTAAAGCCATACCTACCTCCCCCTCCATGTTCTCCCAGGGCTCCCCCAGGTCCCAGCATGCACAGCATGTCTGGGTGTGTATATGTGCAGTGAAGCACCACTCCCAACCCCAGCCAGCAAACTGAGATGTGATGCTTGGAGCCTCACCAAGCCCTGAGGCCCTTGTGCTGAGATACCATGTGACCATTCCAAGGTGGTCTGTGAAACTGCTGGGCAGGAGAGCTGGGGAGCCCTAGAGGTGGGGCAAAGCTCACCAGGGCTTCGCACCTGTCTCCTGGTCCAACTGCACCTGCTCTCTCTCCCTGATGAAGGCCTTGAGCCAGCGCTCCTTCTGCTCAGGCTTCCTGGCACACAGTAGATGGCTGTCCCCCGAGGCACTGCAGTATAGCCGGAAGGCATTCTTGATGCTCACATGGAGGTCTCGGTCCTTCCCATCCTCCACGTCCACTACCTCCAGGCCATCCATGTCCAGCCGGCCCTTGTAGTACAGCACGTCCCGGCGGAGCAGATCCTGCCAGATGCTGCTCTGAGCCCTGGCTGTCCAACTGGTTGCTTACCTGCCCATGTCCATGGTCTGCCCAACCCCCTCCAGCCAGCCGCCACCTCAGCAGATAGCACACGACAACAGTCGGGGCCTGGTGTAGCCCACAACAGTGCTAAGTGGAGGAGCCTCGTCTCTGGTGCCCAGTCACCAACGGGCTAGCGGCAGCTCTGTCTTCAAGATGTGCAGTGTGGTAGGAAGACAGCCCCACAAACTAAGGCAGTAGCCCCCATGCACAGCAGAGTACAGTAGACAAGGAGGGCTCTGTGGGTGGAGGTGTGAGAGGAGCAGAAGCAAGCAGCAAAGGGGAGGCTGGGAGACAGCTGGAGCAGAGGGCCCTAGGGCGAGCAAGTGACAGCAGAGGCTTGAGCAGATGGGCAGGGGAAGGAGGGTGTCTCACAGCACTGGGCCCTGGTCAGACAGAGCCATCCCAAGGTCCCTGAGCTTACCCTGCAGAGAACCACCCTCATCTCATCCCACCCCACCTCACCTAAGGGCCTGACCATGGTGCCCAGAACAAGGATTGGCTGGGGTTGGCTCAGGCTCCTTTCCACTGGGTAGCTTCACCCAGCCCTTAGCTTTACTCTCCACCTGTGCTACATGAGGCCTGTCCAGCAGGGCAGAGAGGTTGGTACCTTCTTACAGTAGATGAGCTGGTGGTCAAAGAGAAAAAACATTCTCTGCTGACTCTTGGCTTGAGGCTGTGTAACACGGGTCAGCTCTCCAGAGTAGATGAGTTCTGAGCTCCTGACCAAAAGATCTTCCCCCTGGGAGACTCCAAGAAGAGCCAGGAGTGAGTAGATGTGCCCACCTTGGGTTTTGCTTCCTCCCTCCATGATGGGGGGGGTCCCACTGCATCCCCACTAAGGTAGGCCAGAGTAGGAGCAATGTTCCTGAAGCCCGAGTTCTCTGGGTCTCAAAGGTCGAGGTTGTGGGGTGGGAAGAAAGGTGGGCAGGTTTGACCTCTTCTTGCAGAGTAGAACCCTGCTGTAGCTGCTGACCTTGTGTGACTCTTGAGCACTGGAAAGGTGGTTCCTTCACATTGAGTTGTGATGTCCGTGTAAAATGCATACTGGTTTTGAAGACAGTATGAAAGTGTACAGTATCTTATTAATAATATTTCATGTTGATTATAAGTTGAAATATTTTGGATATATGGAGTTAAATAAAACATTGTTAAAATCAGTTTCATCTGTTCCTGTTTTAGGATGGCTACTAAAAAGTATGAAATTCTGGATGTGGCTCATATGATCCTTTGATTGGATGGCGCTACCCTAGAGAAAAATTACTCACCTCTGCAGCTAAATGTGTGTGTGTGTGTGTGTGTGTGTGTGTGTGTGTGTGTGTGTGTGTGTGTTAGTTACTAGAGTTTGAACTCAGGGCCCCATGCTTGCTAGGAAGGTCCTCTACCACTCGAACCACTCCACCTCTGCAGCTAAATATATTTGTGTGTGTGTGCGTGTGTGTGTTAGTTACTAGAGTTTGAACTCAGGGCCCCATGCTTGCTAGGAAGGTCCTCTACCACTCGAACCACTCCACCAGCCCCTTTTTATGTTGGGTATTTTCCAGACAGGGTCTTAAAAACTATTTGCTTGGGCTGGTGTGAGTGAGCCACTACTAGTACCCAGCCAGCTAAATGTATTTAGTATCTGAAATCCCACCATGTGGGGTTCAGACTTTCAGACTAAGCTCTGCCTCCTTCTGGTTTCTTCCTGAAACTGCAAACCATAGCCTGGGGCTATGGGCAGCCATCCCCTCTGGGATGACTGAGCTGTGTAGGTCCTTAAGCAGGGTTGAGGCTCAGAACGAGCCACCACCCAGCTCAGTTCCCCCATCCTGGGACTTCAAATTCAGTTTAGTGATGGGGTCTGGGTATCTGTATTTGTAATTTTCTGTGACTGATTCTGATTCGTTTTCAGGTTGTTTCTTGTCCTGACAGCTGGCACTATGGGTAGGGAGTCCTCAGGAGGAGGTAGATTAATGGATGGCAGAGGAGTGGGGTATCCTGTGCCTCTGAAAAACAGGAATGTCATCGTCAATTCAAGGTGGGGTGTGGCCTTAGAAGGTAAGACTGGAAGATACATGGGGAATGTGCAAGTAAGAAAAACAATGAAGAAGCCTCAATGCATGCTGATTCAGTTTTGGTCACACTCTTGGGCTTAAACCTAACTGTTGGAAGTTCCAGAAATTAAAACTCAGGGATCTAGCCTGTCCCTGAGGGCAGAGGAACAGACTGATACTTCTGAGAAACAAATTTAACTCTGAAAGCCTAGGTTTCCCCCTGAGCTGGTGGTGGCTCAAGGGAGGAGTGTGGTATTTATTTCATACAGGAAGGTGGCTTCCAGGTGCCAAAGCCTGGCTCTGGGAAGTACCACTGAAGGCCTCATGCCTATGCAAGACAAATCTGCTTTCCAGCCCAAGCATCTTAATCTGCTAGCTCCCAGGAGCATGGAGGCTCCTGCTTCTGCTCCCTCCTAGACTTGTGATGGGCAAATAAATATTCTGAGCAAGGGCTCTGTGTATTTCCTGGGCCCTGGGGCCCTCACCTCCCAGTCCTCTATGGAGCTCTGCCACTGAGCAATCTTGTCAATGTTTTCGAGTCTCCGTTTCCGCTCATTGATGAGCCGGGCCACATTCTTCATGGCATGCAAAGCAGCTTCAACATCCTTGAAGTCCCTGTGCACAACAGAGACAAAACTGCTGCCAGCTGGAGAGCTGAGAGAGCCTAGGAGCCTGTATCCTCATGTGGAGCTGTCTCTGTCTGGTCTGGGAGTGTGCCCCTTTGCTGTGGCCTCACTTGCCAAATACACAGTCCTTGTCTTCTCCATAAGTGCCAGTGCAGAGCAGAGCTTAATACCCCAATAATGTCCTCTCCCCCCACTGAAACGACAGCTCGTGAGGGCCCGCCTTGCTGCGTCCTGTGGTGTTGCCTCAGTGAGTACAGTAGTACACAGCACACTGCAGGTGCTCCAAAAGCAGCCTTCCCATCTCACCCTCCTACCTGTGCTGGGGGTGCGTGTACTTGAGCAGCTCTGCCAACTGCAGGGGGTACTTGCAGATCTTCTGCACAGGGGTCAGCAGGAAACCATCCAGGGAGATGTCGATCATCTTTTGCAGCAGCCGGCAGGCCTCAAAGAAATACACGTACTTGCTGAGCTTGGTGAGCCGGGAGAGCTCTACACAGGCGTTGGGATGGTTGTTGCAGTATTCTGAGTAGATCTGGAAGTCTGCTTGCTGGGGGGTAAAGCTGGAGGTTATAGGGTGGCTGTCTCCTCCCCCAGGCAACTGGCCACACATCAGGAGGGCCAAGAACCTCTGCATTTCATCTGGCTCTTTGCACCTTCTTCACTGGGGCATATGTTATGTGCAGTTACACCCACGGATGGGAAAAACCTGTGAGAAGTGTGCTACCCAACTTTCTCAGCAAGGCCCCTGGCAGATATTTTAACTGTGTATCAGGTTTGTTTGTTTTTAAATGTAACCAGTGGTGCTAGTCAGGAAGGCTGATCTATGCCAAAGCCAGGGTGCTGGAAGTTGGACAGGTGCCCTTTGCTCACCCCCATATCGCTGCCCCAGGAGAGGTAAGACAAGCACCTGCCTGATCTCGTGAGGCTGGAAGCGCTTCACCACTGCATTTACAGTGTGCGGGCTGTAATTCCACACAAATTCATTTGGCCACTGCGTAAGGAACCCCAGATTCTGCTGTGAACAGACCCCCGGGGCGCTCAACTGATGGTTCAGCTCATCTTTGTTCTCCACTGTGGTCAAATAACATCTTCCCAGGCTGCTGCCCAAGTCCCCTGGCCTTGGGTACCTTCACTAATTTGGGTTTCCCTGCAAATGCAGAGACCACGCTAAAACTTGTAGGGTAGGGCAGCTGGGAGTTTGGAAGCTTTTGGGAAGAAAAAGAAGTGCAGGTTGTCTGGGCTACTGCAGGGAACCAGGTGCAAAGGGAGGTGAAAACACAACACGGGAGAGGGAAGGCCCCTGAACAGAGGTGGTGCTGAGCAGCAGGCTTGGGGATCAGGTAAAGAAGGGCATGCTCACATGTTCCAGGAAGCAGGCACCCAGCTCGCTCAGGTGTGGGCACTCCCTGTTGAACTTCTGCTCCAGGGCCTTCACAAATGCCTTCTGGCAGCGGTAGATGTCCTCAATGTTCCCAAAGATGGTGCGCAGCTGCTCCTCGCTGAACATGTCAGCACGCTTGCGGCACTGCCTGATGTAGCCCTGAGGGCCAGGCACCATCAGGCTCTCTCTGAACCCTGCCCTCCCGCCCCAGGTCCTGCCTCACCTCACAGATGTCCTGATGTAACCCTGAGGGCCAGGCACCATCAGGCTTTCTCTGAACCCTGCCCTCCCGCCCCAGGTCCTGCCTCACCTCACAGATGTCCCGCAGGTGCTTGATGTAGTCCCGCTCTGTGCTGAGAATCTCCTTGATGACGTTGGTCCGCATCTGGTCCTTGCTGTTCTGTGTGTCCATACCACCATCCTTGGCCTCACCATCCCCAGCCTGTGGGGCCTCGTCGTCCACAGGCTCATCCTGGTTTACACGCAGCTGCAGCCAATATGAGGCCAATCAGTGCTCTGGGTCCTCTGAGTCAGTCCCCGTACATTGCATGTGGCAGTGGGGAACTGAGCCCCAGAGGGCTGGCTGGATGCACAGTGGCCAAGGGCTCCCCTGGAAGATCCCACAAGTGCATCACACCCACAGGGTGGGGACAGGCAGGGTCCAGTGGGTCTGATGATTACAGCCACTATTAGTGTTATTTGCAGGCCATCTGTCTCCTTGCAGGCCCATGTCCCTGAGCTCCCCTCCTGGTAGACTTCACTTGTGCTCAATACAGTGCTTGGAGCACACAATAAGAACTTCTGAGTCAGACCTGCTCATGGTGGGCTGTTTAGGGGCTGTGATGCAGGTGGCTGTGTGGCATGGTCTTGCTGGCTGTCTAACCTATAACTTCAGGAAAGATTTGGGGTGCAGAGAGGGCAGTTTTACCCAGGGGTCTGGGACAGAATAAGTACCTGAGTGCCAGGGCCTCTCCCTGGCCTTTTGGAGATGGAAACTGCATTCCTTCTTTAGACACGAAAGGTAGCCTTAGGTGGGATCTGGGTTCCCTCCCTATGATCTCTTTGGTTAATGACTATTTTCGAAGTGTCAATTTCTACCTCTCAGGGCTGTGTTAGTGGGCCACCCACAAAAACATCCTGCAGTGCTTAGTAAGGGAGTCCTTCATGGTGGTGGGATTCTAACATCATGCCTCCACTTACCCTTCTTGTATCTGACCTGCTAGTGTCTGGCCCTAATGGCTGTCCAGGAGGGAATGGGATCAGGGGATAGAGGAGGTAGTGCCTCTATATCTATAGCAGTCGAAGGGCTGTCTGTGTCACAGTTCTCTGATGGTGCCCATCCAGCCCAAGGTACCAGGTCCTCTCAGCAGGGAAGTGCCCCTCCCTGGGATTCCGCAGCTGTTTTAGGTCTGGATTTTTCTATTTTTATGCTTACGCTTTGAGACAAGAGCTATACCACATATTCCAGGAAGGCCTGGAACTCACTATATAGCCCAGGCTGGTTTTGAACTCTAGATTCCTGCCTTGGCCTTCCAAGTGCTGGAAATGACAGGCATGTGCCACCACGTCTAGCTTGGGCTTGGGTTTCTGAGCAGAGCCAGGAGGCTCTTTCTGAGCCTGGGAGAAGCACAGATTGGAACCATACCCGCACGAAGCTGGCTGGGAACCACCCCTCGCCTTCAGCGACACGGCCCCACCACCATTCTCTGTTGGTGGCATCCATCACTTCGATGACATCCCCAGCTTTGAAGCCCAGTTCCTGGTCGTCCATGGTGACATGGTCCCAGAGTGCTTCGGCACAGACCACACTGCCATCACTGATGAGCTGAAGAGAGAGCCATTGCAGGTGGGTCAGTGAGGGGAGGCTGCCTTGGACCCCAGGCTGAGACTCTTCCCACTTTCTGTTCTCACCCACAGCAGCCCCGGGAAGAGGGGATCCTGATTCACATGACAGAGGACCTGACAGAGGTTCTCTCTGGGACAGCAGCTCTTCTGCAGCAGGGCTGTGCCCTGGGCACATCTGGACTGTCAGGGCTTAGGGACAGAGCCGGAAGTGAACTTGAGCACAGTCCGGCCATCCTATAACTCCTTCCCTGCTCTGCTGTGTGGTGGTGGGCTAGGAATGGCCAGCTGCTGTAGGCTTTCCTAAGCAACTTTCAAAAGGAACTGAGAGGCTGCAGTGGGCTTCTTGAGGGATTGAAGTGCCTGTGAGGTCACCCAACAACCACAACAGGGCCCTGCCATTGTGGAAGCTGGATCCCATTGTCCTGAGTTTTGATGCCTCTGCAGAACCAGCCTCATGGCTGTTTGTCCCCAACAACCCAGACATGCACACCAGCAGAGAAGCACCTTCCCAGGGTTCTAGGTCCCAGTCTTAGGAGTCTGTTTTAAAAACTTCGCACTCTCTTCTCTTTATATCTCTAGCTCGAGGACAAGTAGTTACTTCTGGCAGCTGCTGACTCTGCAGCAGGCACCTCTGCATTGTTCTTGTGCAGTGTCACTGTTATCAACCACTTTAAACCTAGCTGACAATTCTCTGTATTGGTTTCTCTCAGCTTAGATCACCGGTGAGGTTCCTTTCTCTGGAGTGATGTGGACTACACATCAGCCTACTCCCCAGCCCCTCCCAGGCAGCCCTTGTGCTTGGAGCTCTATTTTGCATTGACTGCCACCTGCTCTCCCTTTCCTGCAATGTGGGCTGTTTCTGCTTCACAAGCGATGAATGGCTCCAGGGGCTTAGGGCAGGAGAGGAGGATGGGCTGGGGACTGCACTGTATGGCTTCCTGATGGGACTGAGTGCTTGCACTGCCAGTCACAGCCATCAACCTGGCTAAACTGTGAGGGAAGAATTGGAACATCCCTGAATAGGTCCTCCACTGCCTGCTCCTGCTCTGAGCTGCCCTCCACCCTGTGCACCTCTCCTGGCCTCCCTGGGTGCAGCAGAGTAGTGCTCATGCTGATCCACATGGTCACCAGGTATGCCTGCAAGCTGGGACTGCCTGTACCTCCACCCTAGTTCCAGTCACTGTCTAGAGGTCTCTGTGCCCGTGGAGGTAGGGATGGGAGTAGGGGTTGGGGCACAAAAGTCTGCTCAGGCTGGGCGCTTTCCTTCCTCGAGGGAGGCCTGAGCGGGTAAGTTCAGGGAAGGACCAAACACTGGTTCTTCCTCTTTCCCAGAGCTGACACCTGCTCCAAAACTGATGAAACCTCTACTCAGAATCATCCACGACATATACATATTTGTACCCTTTTGGTGTCTGTGCTTCAGGTGCATACAGTGACCCTAGCACACAGCACTGGCTTATTTCTGGGGAGAGCAGGCTTCAGACTGCTGCACTTATTCTCAGCTACAGTGACCTTCCGTAGGACTCAGCAAGGCCACCTGAGCCAGTCTGCTGCAGGTGCAGAGCCTGCGCACCTCCTACAAGTGGCCCTGCATGTGAGGTGCTGAAGGACGTGGTTCAAGGGAAAGCAGGAAGTAAATGCTCCTGATGGTGAGGGTGAGCAGTGAGAATGAGTAGATAAATGTGCCTGGCCTGGGGTTTGAAATTCATAGGCCACAGGTCTGGGGAACGAAGCCAGGCACTCAAAACAGCCTAGCTTCCCTCTGGTTCCCATCCTAGGAGGTTCCTGCTTTGGATCAACTAGGTGAAGCATCTCCCCCTGCCCCCGGAGTCCTTCAAATGAGCCCTGGCAAAAAAGCTTCTCTCCATTGTCCTGTGCCCTGCTCCTTTCATCCATTCTGAGTCCTGGAGGGCGCTATGAATCCTACATGATTGCTTTCCCCAGTAGCTGCTGGTGAAGGTTTGGGAGGTGTGGGACAAAGAGGCACCATTAGGGATAAGCTCCACACACAGGCACCTGGAAGCCATGGGAGTTGGTCACCTTTGTTGCTTCCAGAACTGCAGGGCACAGGAAGCAGAGTTTCCAAGCAAGTTCTGTCATCTTTTCTCTCCCATTAGTGCCCCAGAGTTGCTAACATCTGCCTACTTGTGGAGAGCCACACATGGGAGGCACTCTAACAAGTTACAGCCTTGACGCTAACCAATGCTGTGATGTAGTCATCAAGATACAATGTGGCTCAAGGCGGCAGAGACACCCATGTCCTAGGACATCAGAGATGTGCCTCACCTGCATGGGAGCTGGGCTGGTGTCTGCAGATCCCTTCCTGGTACTCTGAAGCCCAGACTCAAGCTGTCAACCTGAGGGATCCTGCCTGGCCTGGCAGGGGGGAGCAGAGGCTGTCTCTGAAGCATAGGGACATTGTGTGGGAGGAGACAGAGGCTGTGGGGGGGGGGGCAAGTTCGAAACCAAGACAAGCCAGGAGCAGAGTGCACAATCTCTTCCTATGCCTCTGAGGTTCTGACTGGCCCTGGGGAGGGCAAGGCTGCCAGGCTGTGCTTTGAAATGCCCTCTGAAGACCATCACCACCCCTCCCACCCTGTCATCTCTCTCCCTCTCATGCAGTGTGGTGGTGGCTTTTAGCAGTATGGCCTCTATGTAGGGGATGCTTGGGAGTGTGTGCTCAAAGTGCCCACCAAGGAAAGCAGCAGGGCCTCTGTCCCTGGGGAGACTGATCGGCACTACCTATTTAAGACCTAAAATGGGAAAATCAACTGCAGTTAACGTGTGCTGAGGTGCCCAGGCATCCTCCACAGCCCTTGTTCAACCCCTACACAAGTACATGCCCAGTTCTGCCCTCCCGTGGTCACATGCGCACCGTTTTCAGACCACCACAGCCAGCCAGTCCACAGCTTTTCAGCATCCTTGTTACACAAAGACGCACCATTTTGTCCCCCACCCCCACCCCCAGCAGAGGACAGACAGAAGACCCCTGGCACGTGTCATAGCACGCCCCTCAGTTACCCTCATGGGGACACACCCGGGAGCGCCCCAGACCTGGTCCAAACAGCACATGCAGTGGTGGGAGGCCTCCCCTCTGCGTGCGGCATGGAGGCCGTGGGTGACAGCAGCTGGAGGGCCCACCGGGCGCCACTCACCCCAGCGCGTTGCCCCCCAGCGCGGGGCCTGCGCTCAGCTCAGCGGAAGGCCAGCAGGAATATCAGTACGACATTGATGAGCACAAGAAGTACCAGCACTGAGGAGACCACCACGCGCTGGGCGCCCGGGGGCAGGTTGCAGCGCAGCAGGGCGCGCAGGGCGCTCCCGGGCGTCGCGGGGCCGCACCGGGACTGCGGTGTCCTGGCCATGACGCCGGGCCCCCCGGCTCGGCTCCCTGATCCTGCGGCGCAGGGCCGGAGCCGCTGCCCGTAGCTCCCGGGAGGGGAGGGGCGGAGCTGCCTGAGCTCTCGGGCCGGGCTCCTGCCGCACACCCGCACAGTGCGCCGCGTCTCCAGGCCTGGAGACCGGCAACCTCCGAGCGCACTGACAGGGATGGGGTGGGAGGAGGGCCGAGCGAGACGGAGGGTGGGGTAGGGGGCGGTAAGGAGGCACGGGGGCGGGAGGTTCTCAGCCGTTGTGTGTAAGCGCGATCTGCTCTTGGCACCTACTTGGGAGGGGGCGGTGGGACCTAGCAAACAGGCATTCCGGGGCTAAAATGCCTGGCCATTGTCGATTTGCGGAGGATAGATCAGGGATTCTGATTTCTAATAAGGCTGCCTTCAGAACCCATTCACAGATGAGTATGTGGCTCAGAAAGACAGGTAATTCGTTCAGTCATAAAATCATCCAGGAATACATGGATAGCAGAGCTAAAATTTGAACCCTGACCAGACTGGACATTTGCCCATCAGGGGGTGTCATTTTGTTCCTTTGGGCAGGCAGTGGCTTCTTCAGCCACTTTGCAAAAACTCTTATGTCAAGTTCCCAAGTGTTTCCCTGCCTCCACCAGAACCTGAAGCCTTAACTGGGCAGGTGGAAAGCTCACATGCAGGAGTCTCTTTCACCCTGTTCACAGCAGAGAGCTCTGACAGCAGTCAGCATGTCCCCTAAGGTTAGGACTCTAGCCTAGAGGAGTGAACACAGAGCTCAGGAGTGGGGAGGTTCCTGGGTGGAAGGCTGCAGGCGCAATGCTGAGTCCTGAGGCAGGAAGAGTCCCAGGAGGGAAGGGATGGGCACACAGAGGGAACACGCAGAGACTTAGTGTACATGTGTGTGACCGTGTGTGTGCACATGCATGCCACCACTACAAACATGCCAGAGAGGGGGGTGTACATGTGGGTTCATGTGTACCTGTGTGAGGAGGGGATACTTCTATGTGCATATGTGTTCATGTGTGTTCATGCCTCTATGTATCTGTGCATAGGTTACCCATTCATGTGGCTGTATATGTGTGTGTGTGTGTGTGTGTGTGTGTGTGTGTGTGCGCGCGCACATGCGCAGAGAGTCGAGATGTGTCTAGTGAGGCTATCTGCCTCCTTCATACTTACAGGTTCAACTGGCTGGCCTATCCACCGTACCTCTCCTGCCCAGTTCTGTAGAAAACCCTGGATATTGATTGGATTTGCTCTTCCAAACTCTCATTAGGCTTGTGGGGGGATCAGAAGGCATCTAAAGGCTCCCTGGCACCCTCAAATCTCTGTGCTCCTCTAAAACTGTGTGATGTGCTCTCTAACAGGATGTGGCTCAGAATCCCTGACTTGTATCCATGTTTCATTAAGCATCTGTGACTCCAGAGCGACTGACCACCTAGGAGGGCATGATGCACAGACAGTGTGTGTTCTTGGGCCCCTGGGCATGCATGCTGGGAGTATTGTGGAGCCTATGACACCCTGTGTGCTGCAATGCCTGGCCTAGGAAGGCAATGTTTAGTACTGTAGCCTAGGTCCAGCTGTGGGCATGTCCCCACTCCCATGACAGCAGGCCAGCCTGGGAAGCACTGAATGTGGCAGAAAGATTTCTGATCCAGGCCAAATTGCTAACTGTGGGGCACCGGAGTTTCAATCCCAGAGAGCTCAGTATACAGCAGGAGTGACTATAGCAATGGCTTCTGTGAGTGTTTCCTAACCAAAAGCAACAAAAAGCTTGAAGGCAAAAGCTGGGACCCTCGAGGGGCTCACATTGGATGGCTCCAACCAGGGAGGGAAGTGGTCCCCTTGGCTGGTGGGCTTCGCAGGTCTGCCAAAGTGGCAGGACTGTCACTGAGGTGAAAGAGACACAGATGTCTGGGGCAGGCAAGGGCTAGCCTCTGGCTGTGGCATTGTAGAGGGAAGAATTCCACTTTGGATG